TAACTATTAATGCCTTTTTTCCTTCAATTTAAATCCATTTCAAAATTTAATTATTTATAAAAATTCATGGAATAAAATTTTGGAAAATAATTAAATTTCGAAAAAGAATTTTATTATTTGTAAAGATAATTCAAATAACGACGACAATTTTCTTGAATTCTTCCAAAGATTTGAATTTCTATAAAAATTCTATTATTTATAAAAAATAATTAATAATAATTTCCAAATATTTTTTAAAAAAATTTTTTCTAAATAATTGAATTGTTTTGCAAAATATTATTTTTTTTTATTTTATTTATTTATTTTTTATTTTATTTTTTACTTATAAAGACAATTGAAAATTCAACGAGAATCTTTCAAAATTTTGCAACAGAATTGAATTTTTGCGAAGAATTTCAATTAAACAAAATCACTAAAAGTTATTTTTCTATTTGAATTAAATATAATGTTTTCTCAGTGTCTATCAACCTAAATAAACTTCACTATCTTTTTTCTATATTCTATATTCACTATATTTTTTCATTATGTTTCACAAACAGACCAACTGTCTCGAGTTCTGAAAGAAGAAGAATCGTATCTAAAAAAGTACTGTAAGGGCGAAACGGTTAGAAATTACACGCAAGTCCGAAACATTTTTAAACGAAAAGAGTTAATTAGCATCGATTGGAAATTAGCAACAAGTTCATCGATATTGACTACGTTGTCTAAAGTTTATGAAACGGATGCTATTTCACCGAATGGTATTTATAGATCTATTTCTATTTAATACTCTATTCTTTATACCAATCAATTTTAAGAAACAAATTTTTATTTCGTAGATGACAATCGACAGATGCACGAAATGAGTTTAAGCAGGTTAAGGAAGTTTCACGCAGATCCAAAAAAAGAAGATTCGATAGACGGTAAAATTTAAATTTTACATAACTTTATATCTCTCTAAAACTGAATCAGTGAAATTTGACTGAAAATCGGTGACTTTATTCTTGCGATTTGAATTAAATTAAATTATTAATTAAAATTATTAATTAAAAAAGAACAGAAATTTTCAATATGTGTGACAGAAATCTCAATCAGAAATTTTCAGTAGTTTTTTAATTGTCGAAACAGTGGAAAATTTCTAAAATTTCAGTACTTTTAACTGATTTTCAGTGAAATTCCACTGATTCAAATCGTGAGAATAGAGTAAAATCTGATTCACTGATTCTCAGTCAAATTTCACTGATTTTCAGTGATCGTCTCATACTTGAATGAGTTGATATGTTTTTTTGTTAATTCAAAAGTAATTCGTAAAATTACTTTTTCTCTCACATCACCTTAATTAAATTAGTTAATTTTTAATTGATTTAAAAATCTAGAAGAGCAAGTCGACACTGCAACAACAATGGATATCAGCAACGCAACCTTGACAATAAATTCTGAGCTTGCAACAGCTGCAGAAGAAAATAAGGACACTGACTCTCCTCAAATACCAACGGTAAGAAGAAGAAGACAAAAATCCAAAGATGATGAGAATGTCACAGCGCCTAAAAGAGGCAGAGGAAGGCCAAGAGGCAGCAAGAATAAAAGAGGATTGGGAAGAGGGAGAGGAATTGCAAAAGTTACCGAAAGCACGGGCAGAGGTGGAAGATGTGGTAGAGGCAGGGGTGGACGACAAAAATCCAGAGGGATTGAAAGAATAAAAAGTGCAGGTATAATCATCCTTACAGGTAATATCCTTGGTTTTTTACACTCTGGAAAAATTAAATTTTTAGAATTTATAAGAAAATTCTGAATTTCAGAGTCTTTTTTGTTTGCCCATAAACTATGAAATTGTCGAGAATTCAAATACAAAAGTTTCAATTTTTTCTATATCTCACCAATAATTTCTTTTTAAATAACTTAATTCTTTAAGAACTATCATAAAATTATTACTTAGAAATTATTTAAATTCTTTTTAATATCTACTATTTTAATAAAATTTTCCAAAAGAATTTTATTACTTAAACAAAATTTTAATAAAAATTTAACAGGAATTCAATTTCTTACCAATTTTTTTATAAATTTCTTCGATCCAATTCAATTATTTTTCATTTTTTCATAAAATTTCTAAAAATAGTTCTCAGAAGTTCAATTATTTCGAAAAATTTAAATAAATTTCTATTATTTAAAAAAATTTTGACAAAATTCTTTACAAGATTTACTTGATAAAATTTTCAATACAATTCTTCTTAAAAATTCAATTATTTTCACAAATAATACATTTTTTATGGGAATTACATTATTTAAAAAAATTTGAATGAAATTCTTCACAAGAATTGAATTTTCGAAAAATTTTCTGATAAAAATTTAATAAAAAATTCATTTCAGTTAAAATTTTAGATTATAATTGAATAATAAAAGCATTAAAGTGTGAATTTTTAGAAATGATTAAATTTTGAAAAGGGTTCAAATTAAAATCTTTGAAAAATTGAATTTATAGCGACAATATTCTTATGAAATAAAATAATGATATTATAACTCTGTCATGCTAAAATCTATCATAAAACACGAAGAAAGCGTCGGTTTCTTGATGCTTTATAATAATATTCTTATAAGTTATTGGATTTCAGAAAGTTTTTATTTATAAATCTTTATTCCTGTAGAAAAATAATAATGATTAAATATTTATTTAAAAAAGAAGTTATTGATGTTTTCGAATAATTTTACAATTAAAGAAATTCATAAATAAACGTAACAGAACATTTTTTTGAGTATCCAATAATTTTTAGACTAAATCAGAATATTCTTTTGCGTCAGGAAAAATTTAAAATTTTGTCTGGAAATCAGGGAAAAGTCAGGGGAAAACAAAATTAAATTTTTGTGGCAACCCTGATACACTTAGAAATTATGCCACAAAAAACACATTTACATGACTTAATGTGTTCCTTTCTAATAGAAGCATTGTTTAGGGTTTTTAGTGTTTTTAGGGTGACCATCTTTAATATGTGTTTCTTTCTTATAGAAGCATTGTTTAGGGTTTTTAGGGTGACTATCTTTAATGCTACAAATACGGACAGCTATCTAGATAGTCACCGTTACCATCAATATCATCAGGAGTAATATCTTGGTAGTACGGGGTAGCATAACTATATTTTTTAGCATCTGTGATGGTTGGCAGTAGCATAATGATAGAATCGTGTAACATTATCTTTTTAACATCAAAATCTGACTATCCATTTCTCTCAGTATAAAAACCTATGTATCTTTTCCTCTTATTTTAAAGCGTATTTTGCCACTACATTTTAACCCTAAAATGAGAATATGTTGGCTAAGCTATAGCCATAGTTATTAACATTTAAGGAAAATTTAAATAGTAAATAGACCCGAAACACACTATTTAAATTTTCCTTAAATGTTAATAACTATGGCTATAGCTTAGCCAAATATATAGCCAAATATATATATATATATATGTTACCGGCAAAACCCGAAGACCAGGCATTTTGCGAAATGCCTAGGCAATTCGAGAAATGCCTAAGATTTTAGGAAATACCCGAATTTCCTAGAGATTTACAGGCAGTTCTCGAATTGACTAGGCATTTCGAAAATTGACTAGGCGATTCGCGAAATGCCGGGGCCGTTTTAGGCAAATTGGCAATTTGCCTAAAAAGAGTTCGTCATTTCAGGCAAATTGAGAAATTGAGAATTTATAAACAAAAAAAATAATTAAAATTTCCTTCCTTACTCAATAATATTGCTTACTATTATTAGTATCTATACTGAGTCAAAACGAGTCAACCGTGAATAAATTTTTTTTTATATTTTTGGAAAAGTCAAAACATTTATAAAAATCTGTAATTCACAACGAACCAAAAAACACTTTAAACCGCTTTTAAAAATTAAAAATTTTAATACCTTTTTTTATAATAACAAATTCTTGCATCATTTAAGAAAAAAATTAATAACAAGAAAAATCGATTGCAGTGGGATTTTTTTTATAATTTACTGTTCAAAAATGTCTACAGACTACAATTTTTAACCGATTTCAGTGTTCTTTGTTTTAAATTAAAGAGACATAAATTTTTAAGACTCAAATAAAAAAGAATGCCTCTTGGATAATTAAAATCGGTTAACAAGTTTTTTTTAATTAATTTTAAAAAAAGAGTTAAAAACTTTAATTGTTTATAATAATAGCAAAAAATTTTTTTGTCAAATCCTTTGTTATAGTGTTTTTTTATATAAAACACTATAGGAAAAACAACATTTTGTCGAAATATAAATTTTTTGAATTTTATTAAGCTCGTTTCAAAAATTCTTACTCCAAATTAATACAATTTTTTAAAAGGGGACGATTAATTTTTTATTCCGTTGATACACATGATCTAAATCAGTTCAAATTAATCTAATATGACCACCTGACCATTAATAAAGCATAAAATAATTTATATCAATTGTTATAAACAATATTAATTACAGATTTTTATAAATGTTTTGACTTTTCCAAAAATATTAAAAAAAATTTATTCACGGTTGACTCGTTTTGACTCAGTATAGATACTAATAATAGTAACCAATATTATTGAGTAATGAAGGAAATTTTAATTATTTTTTTTGTTTATAAATTCTCAATTTCTCAATTTGCCTTAAATGACGAACTCTTTTTAGGCAAATTGCCAATTTGCCTAAAACGGCCCCGGCATTTCGCGAATCGCCTAGTCAATTCTCGAAATGCCTAGGCAATTCGAGAACTGCCTGTAAATCTCTAGGAAATTCGGGTATTTCCTAAAATCTTAGGCATTTCTCGAATTACCTAGGCATTTCGCAAAATGCCTGGTCTTCGGGTTTTGCCGGTAACATATATATATACCTCATAGGGCAGTGTAGATTGCATGTATGTAACAATGTGACATAGGTTTGAGGGGGGGAGCAAAAAAGTTTAACATAATATATAGATAACTTCTTTTGTATTTTTTTCGCAATTCATTGTACTATATATAACAAAATTGAAAATTATGATACCTTTAAAATGACGTTTCTTTCTTTTATTCTAAAGAAATAATATCATCATCATCGTCATCGTCCTCATTTTCTTCAAAATCACTGTCAAGAACATCACACTCAAGAACATCACCGTCAAGAAAATCATCGTCAAGAAAGTCATCGTCAAGAAAATCATCGTCAAAAAAATCATCGTCAAAAAAATCATCGTCAAAAAAATCATCGTCAAAAAACTCATCGTCAAAAAAATCGTCGTCAAAAAAATCGTCGTCAAAAAAATCATCGTCAGGATCATCGTCGTCAGGATCATCGTCGTCAGGATCATCTTTGTCACGATCATCTTCAACTTATTCATCAACATAAGTTACCAGTTTGAAATATTACTTGCTAATATTAAATTAATTAAAAGAAATAACCATATAAATGTTTAGAAGTTTATAAGTTACCAGTTTGAAATATTACTTGCTAATATTAAATTAATTAAAATAATTAAAAGAAATAACCATATGGTAAATGTTTAGAAATGTATTTTAGATAAAATAAAACAATTTAAAAGTTGTTTTTCTATTCAAAAAATTTTATAATTCATTTTTTTAAAAATAAGATATTATCAAAACTCTTTTGTCGCTACAGTAAGAATAGGATGAAAGATACGTTAAAACTAAAACTAAAAGAATGAAAATGTTAGCTTATCATCAGAAATCATAGCACAAAATTTTCTACAGTATCGAACAATTGTCTTACAAATCTAATTATGTCGTCCTTATATTATATCTTTAAATCATACACCATTTAAAGTAAAAACCACTGTATCTTAGTATAAACGAAATTAATTATTCAGTTGAAATTTCAAATCATTACTATTCCTTCATTAAGTATATAAAAACAAACATTCAACTAAACTTTCAATTTTACTTTTTAGATTCTCAAACTAAATCCTGATATTTTGTTAGGACATAAACGAAATCCAGTTAAAGAAGATGCACATGCATTTTAATGAAAACCTCCACTAATACAAAATAAACAACATATTACTTAGACCTTCATTTTTTTAAAACAATATTTATATCAAACCTGTACGGTAACTACCAAAGTTGTTATATTCAAACCTACCTCAATTAAAAGCCAAATAGTCCGGGAGCTAGCGACCAAAACAACTATCTCATTTCATACCGGATGAAAATTTGAGTATAGATAACAGAAACCCACGTCTGGCAGTCCGGTGCTGGGGTAGGGGGGGCGAATAGGTGAAAAATAATGTAAAATTTTCTCATTTCATACCGATTAAAACCTTCATAACTCGAAGTTTACACCCACACGAGTGTAAAAATGTGCGTCTGGCAGTTCTAGGATGGGCCAAAGTACGTCTGGCAGCCCTTCGAAGATGCGGCAAATGGGTCAATAGGTGAAAAATAATGTAAATATTTCTTATTTCATACCGATTAAAACCAAAATAACTCAGAGTTTACATCTATACAAGTGTAAAAATGTACGTCTGGCAGTTCCGGGGTGGGGTAAAGGTCGTCTAGCAAAGGGTTAAACACGTAAAAAATCTAAATTTTTTTCTCATTTCATACTGATTCAAACCTTAAGAAATCGAAAGTTTACATTCAAACAAGTGTAAAAATACTCGTCTGGCTGTCGTACACAGTAAAAAGTAAATCTTATTTTAAGAACAAGCTGAAATTAAACTAGTCTTGAAACTAAGACCAGTCTTAATTTAAGCACAGCTTGTGTAAAAATAAGGATAAGCAATCTGAATTGACAGATCTCATTACTGTATAGTAAATTTCTAAATTATTCACTGAATTTAATATTTTTTACATTTATCACATTTTATTCACATATTATTTTTAATCCTCAAGCAATTGACAGGTTCAGGTTAGTTTTTTACATTGTTAATAAATACCTAAGTATACTAATTTTGTTTACAACTCATATGGTCGAATCGAATCGATTAACCAGTCACAGAAATTTATTACATCGTACTTTAGCATTCCAAGCCTAATTCTATTGAAGACCAACCGTCATCTAAACTGTAGATTCAATCCAGCATCCATAGAATTTGACAGAATCGAAAATAGTTTTCAGGTATTATATAAACCATCACCTGCATTTAATTACCACTTATTATGCAAATCTTCAACTAAAATTCATCATTGCACCCTTCTCAAACCCATTTCTACATCCCGGCTTTTGACTTTCATTCCTGATTACGTTGGGGGACAAAATTTTGAGATTACAAGCTTCAGGACTATTTCAACCATGCTAATGATTAGTTTCAAAAAAAAATTCGAATTTATGTATGCTCTGTATTGTTGCATTAATATGATGTCACTGCAGATTGCAACATGAATACAAGGCGAATTTGTTGAAACTAATTGTTAGTTACTCCTCATCTGAATCTACAAAACGACACGAATAGAACATCATCTGCCACAATTGTCAACTGCTCATTAATTTGGATTAAAAAGAACAATGAACATTCTACAGAATTCTTACAATTCTATACTGATGCAGAATTTTTCTTACAGGTGACAAACGAAAACATTTTCAATCCCTTAACAACTCTTGTATAGTTCATATATTATTCTTTTAAAATTAGCCTTAAATCTTTAACCGAAGAATCCTTTTTACTAACAATTTGTAATTAATATATAACTAAAATTCCTGTTTCTATTCGTAGATCGTCCCGCTCCATCCTGCCTAGTTTCCCGTCATTTCATACCGCTGACTCTAAGCCAACAACCAGCAGCACTCAAATTAGAATAGGACTCTATGCCAACTACCAGCAGCACTCAAATTATAATAGATGAAAAAAAATTTTTTATGTATCTTTCTAAACCTTTAATTACCTTCTATAAAACTTGTTCAAGTGAATTTTCGACTAAAAATAATCCTTCAATCCGTAGATGAATCTACAATTATTCTGTCCGTTGATCCTGAATATCCTTCCTGGTCATTGAATTGTACTTCTAATCCTGTGGTAGAGAGAAAGCAAAGAGAGTGAATCGATTAACTAGTCACAGAAATTTATTACATCGCACTTTTGCATTCCAAGCCTAATTCTATTGAAGACCAACCGTCATCTAAACTGTAGATTCAATCCAGCATCCATAGAATTTGACAGAATCGAAAATAGTTTTCAGGTATTACTTGAAACCATCACCTGCATTTAATTACCACTTACTATGCAAATCTTCAACTAAAATTCATCATTGCATCATCCTAGAACCCATTTCTACACCCTGGCTTTTGACTTTCACTCCTGATCACGTTGGGGGACAAAATGTTGAGATTCCAAACTTCAGGACTATTTCAACCATGCTAATGATTAGTTTCAAAAAAAAATTCGAATTTATGTATGCTCTGTATAGTTGCATTAATATGATGTCACTGCAGATTGCAACATGAATACAAGGCGAATTTGTTGAAACTAATTGTTAGTTACTCCTCATCTGAATCTACAAAACGACACGAATAGAACATCATCTGCCACAATTGTCAACTGCTCATTAATTTGGATTAAAAAGAACAATGAACATTCTACAGAAATCTTACAATTCTATACTGATGCAGAATTTTTCTTACAGGTGACAAAAGAAAACATTTTCAATCCCTTAACAACTCTTGTATAGTTCATATATTATTGTTTTAAAATTAGCCTTAAATCTTTAACCGAAGAATCCTTTTTACTAACAATTTGTAATTAATATATAACTAAAATTCCTGTTTCTATTCGTAGATCGTCCCGCTCCATCCTGCCTAGTTTCCCGTCATTTCATACCGCTGACTCTAAGCCAACTACCAGCAGCACTCAAATTAGAATAGGACTCTATGCCAACTACCAGCAGCACTCAAATTATAATAGATGAAAAACATTTTTTTAGGTATCTTTCTAAACCTTTAATTACCTTCTATAAAACTTGTTCAAGTGAATTTTCGACTAAAAATAATCCTTCAATCCGTAGATGAATCTACAATCATTCTGTCCGTTGTTCCTGAATATCCTTCCTGGTCATTGAATTGTACTTCTAATCCTGTGGTAGAGAGAAAGCAAAGAGAGTGAATCGATTAACTAGTCACAGAAATTTATTACATCGTACTTTTGCAATCCAAGCCTAATTCTATTGAAGACCAACCGTCATCTAAACTGTAGATTCAATCCAGCATCCATAGAATTTGACAGAATCGAAAATAGTTTTCAGGTATTACTTGAAACCATCACCTGCATTTAATTACCACTTACTATGCAAATCTACAACTAAAATTCATCATTGCATCATCCTAGAACCCATTTCTACACCCTGGCTTTTGACTTTCACTCCTGATCACGTTGGGGGACAAAATGTTGAGATTCCAAACTTCAGGACTATTTCAACCATGCTAATGATTAGTTTCAAAAAAAAATTCGAATTTATGTATGCTCTGTATTGTTGCATTAATATGATGTCACTGCAGATTGCAACATGAATACAAGGCGAATTTGTTGAAACTAATTGTTAGTTACTCCTCATCTGAATCTACAAAACGACACGAATAGAACATCATCTGCCACAATTGTCAACTGCTCATTAATTTGGATTAAAAAGAACAATGAACATTCTACAGAAATCTTACAATTCTATACTGATGCAGAATTTTTCTTACAGGTGACAAAAGAAAACATTTTCAATCCCTTAACAACTCTTGTATAGTTCATATATTATTGTTTTAAAATTAGCCTTAAATCTTTAACCGAAGAATCCTTTTTACTAACAATTTGTAATTAATATATAACTAAAATTCCTGTTTCTATTCGTAGATCGTCCCGCTCCATCCTGCCTAGTTTCCCGTCATTTCATACCGCTGACTCTAAGCCAACTACCAGCAGCACTCAAATTAGAATAGGACTCTATGCCAACTACCAGCAGCACTCAAATTATAATAGATGAAAAACATTTTTTTAGGTATCTTTCTAAACCTTTAATTACCTTCTATAAAACTTGTTCAAGTGAATTTTCGACTAAAAATAATCCTTCAATCCGTAGATGAATCTACAATCATTCTGTCCGTTGTTCCTGAATATCCTTCCTGGTCATTGAATTGTACTTCTAATCCTGTGGTAGAGAGAAAGCAAAGAGAGTGAATCGATTAACCAGTCACAGAAATTTATTACATCGTATTTTTGCAATCCAAGCCTAATTCTATTGAAGACCAACCGTCATCTAAACTGTAGATTCAATCCAGCATCCATAGAATTTGACAGAATCGAAAATAGTTTTCAGGTATTACTTGAAACCATCACCTGCATTTAATTACCACTTACTATGCAAATCTTCAACTAAAATTCATCATTGCATCATC